AGATTTTGAAAACAGACAGCAGCCTTACAAATGTATTACAAAATATTTCAAATAGTTAATGTTAAACAGTGGGTTGCATTGTTTTCTTGGAATTGTTGTGCATGGTTACTGTGATGCTCTCAAAATCCTCTGGCACAACTGGATGACAGAATCTTAGCAGAGGAGATGATCTGGAGAACCAGATGTGCCATGCAATTTCAGCTTAGGAAAACTTTTCCTCATTCAACATATATTGGGTACTACAAATATTCCAAAAGGACTTAATTCTGTGCCAAGTCCTATAAATATGTTTTCAAACAATTAAACAATCTCAAGGATTAGTACTTTGGGACACTGAATATCAGACAATTACACTAGTTAAGTTGCTAATTTCTTCTCCCTCCCTTATTCCTATACACTTATGAACAAGTGAGGCATGCAGGTAATTTTCTGCCAATTCTTCTTGCTTTTTATAGTTGCACTGCTTTCATTTCTGAATGCTGGGCTGCTAGCAGGGGCACAGGAGCAAGGCTTGTGTTCTTTTGTTTGGTTTTAAAGTCACCATCCTAAATTCCAGCATTCCTCAAACATGAAATTGGAGGTCTCTGTTGTAAGTTTCTGATCTAGACATTCCCTGATGCAGGGACTGGGCCCATCCTGCCACCTTATCTAGCCCCTTTACAAGTCAGGGTTGCTTTTAGCTGAAGCAATTCAACAGGTGAAATTATTTCATAACTATGGTCACACGTGAGGTCAAAGCTTCATTGGCCAAACTGCTGGTTGTTGCACAACTTTTAAATCCAAAAGAAGTCTTGGGAAAGGAGCAAGGCGGCCCCATAAGTCTGGTTTGTTCTCTCAGCAGAGAAGAAAGTAGTCCTTTTCATCCTGCAGAAATCAGCCGTGCAAAAGGTTTAAGAGTACAGTTTATGCCACAGTGCAGGCAGCATGTCAGATAATGTGCTAGTTTCAGATTTATGAGCAGACACAACTGCAAAGCAAGCCAGGTCAGAAGTCTTGGCATGCTGTATGACTCCCTCCTGGCTCAGAGCGGTCATATTTGCTTTGCTTTTTGCTCTAAGTTATTTAAGAACCCACCCCCCTTTCTGCTGTCGGAATCTGGAATTATTGGCTGGAGATTTGTTGTACATAATTAGAGTTCATGTACAGATTGTGGCACTTGGGAGGGAAGAGGAGGAGGAGAGCCTTTAGTCAGTACAAAATGTTCCTCTTGGCATCTCCTGTAAATATGAAGAACAAGGCCTTTTGTTGTATTGTCCCACTCTTTCCTCCTTGTAAACAGTTTTTATTGCATCTCTTGCATCCCACAATCCCTCTATTTCTAAGAAAAGATGATGAATTCAAGATAGTTATGCTTTGGATGGGGTCAAATGTGAGGTGAAAGTCATCAGTAAAAAGTGCCAAACAGCCATTTCGGCCAGCCCTTCTACTTTTCAAACAGGAGGTGTTCTTCAGATAAATACTTCTTTAAAAGCAGGTGGGTTTCTGTTTTCAGAAAATAAGCCAGGGGAAGAGAAGACCACAAGAGACTCTATAGAAAAAGGTTGTGACAAGGATGGTAGTTCTATAAGATTGCCAAAAAGTTAAAATCAACAAACCAAGCACAAAGAGAGCTAGCTTTCAAGTTCAAACCTAAGTCATCATCAGGTGAAGAGGGTGTAAAATGTGGGGATAAGGGAAGAAGCACACACGTATGCTTGTTTTTTGTTTATGGAAAAAAATAGATGACCATATTCCTTGGAACGGAACAGCAGATTCTTCACCAACAGGTCTAGCAAGCTACAACTCAGGCTAAGACTTTTAACATTAAAGCTAAAGATGGTGAAAATGCAATCCTCCCAATGATATTGCATTAGGATTCTTCTCTCCGTTGGCTACACTGGCTAGGGATGGAGTGTGTGTGTTGCAGTTTGACATATAAAGAACCATACATTCCTTATCCCTGTTTTAAATCTCTAGACTTGGGAGAAGGAGGCCATTAATAGTTTCTCCTCTGTCTTGTAACCCAGTAACGTCTATCTCTGCTGTATGAAGCAGTAGACCTAGTGCACTACAAGAGAGATAAGGATGGCAAGAGGAAAGCAGGAAATAAACTGTATAAAGAAATGTAAAGGTACGCTGTAGACTTCCAGGTCAAAAATCTTAAATTAATAATAGACAGCTTCTGGACGCACAAGTCCACGCTGCCCCACAACCCTCTGTTGATTGCACCCTACCTTACTGCTATACCCCTGAATCTGATGAAGTGGTAGCAAAACCTATTTCTCTTTAAAACAAAGCACCTTCGGATGGTGCAATGTCTTAAGTCAAATTCGGTTTCTCTGAATGATCCTTCTTTCTAGAACTGTGATTCATCTTCCCCACACCCCGTCTGCCAGCATCTAACTTCAAAGTGAAATCATAATCTCTTAGCCATTGCCATGGCAAATTAAGCTGCAGTGTGAGCCAGACAGGGTCTCAAAACCAGGTGGACCAGAGATGGTCCAAGTGTTACCCACCCCACCTTAGAGATAAAGCAACACTTAAAATATGTAGGCCTGGACATTCTGCTGCTTCCCAGGAAATGGCCTTTCCTACTCTAATTATTGGAGCTTCCTGAAAACTAGGAGCCTTAGGATGAAAATACCTGGGAGAGATGATAGATCCTTTGTCTTAGTTCAGAAGGACTTAAAAAGGGGGATTTTCAAATTGCAACTTGCCAACCCTCTTCACAAACACATCAAAAAGTTATTAAGAAGGCACTGCAATAAAACTACAAAGCCTTGCACTTGGTCTTGTTTAGGTAGCAGCTTTCAGATCAACACTGATCTGCTGATTGAATTTCAAGTGAATTCTTTCAGTTGGCCAGAAAGTGAACATAGGTATTTGGAGAATATTTGATAGAATTGGCAATTTTGGTAGGACAGCAAATCATAGATTAATGGAGTTGAAAATGTTTTGACTTCACAAAGTGCTCTTTTTTCCAACTTGCAAAAGCGTGGAATAGTCCGCTTTGCAATTTCTGAAATGCAGACTACTTGCATATCTCAGAGCACACTTGCTTAAATAAAAGAAATAAATACATACTGTATATGACAGTTTGTGATATTTAAGTAGGAAGGTGCTTTGGCCACGAAGAACTTATGACAAATAGATCGTATATTTTCTGTAATATAATGCTAGCTACAGGATACAGTTTTGTGTTAAATACGGTATCTAACAGATGCTGTATTACATATGTCATTTTTTTTCGTTTTGAAGACAACTCCCAGCATTCTATGCACACACACACACACACACCCTACATTTTGCTCACCTGGAACAGGGTGTACTCCAGAAGCCTGTCTTTCCTATTTTTTTAATTTAAACCCACACACCCCAAATAAAACCAGGTAATACAGAAATGGGTATGGGAAATTTTGATACTTTTTTTGTATCGTATGCTTGTTACAAAACTGACTGGTGGCTTACAGCTTTGTGGGGAAATGTACTGTAGTCTTATTGCCAATTAGGCTCTAAAGGGCCATAGTTACAAAGAAGTACACAACCCACAAAGCCTGTGGCCTCCTCGGAATCACAGAGCCAGTTTCCTTTTTTAATGCATTAGCAAAACCAAGCTTCTGAGATAGGCTTTTTTCCAAGTGAGTGAAATGCAGGTTTGTGTCTGTGAGCTGCAACTTCCAGAATTCTCCCTGAGAAAATCTTGGGAGAGTTCTGGGAGGCTGAGTCCAATTAAACCAACTGGCACACCAATAATATCAAACACATATTTAGACTGTTCACATTTTACAGAGAAATAAAGTTTGAAAAGGCATTTCTAGATGATCACAACTTATTAGTACTCTAGTGTAAGTAGTTAGAACCATTTGCTTACATTTTTATTAATATAGCGGATGTATACCAGGTACGTATATACTGGATCAATTCCTTTGAATGAAAACATGCCCCTTAAAATATAATAAGTGCAAATAATCTACAAAGAATATTGGACAGACAGATGGAAAGCCCAATCTTTACCACCAGCATTTAGATGCAAGTAAAAGGATGTCAGAAGCATTTCAGGCTTGGGAGTCATTAGTGTTTGTATCATTTCTCCCATAAAAGACCAGAAACTTCCCTATACATAGAAATCAACAAGACCTGAGCATGAACCTCATTAAGACAGCAATGTGAAAATAACAAATTCATGCACAACTTTACCATACTTCGCAGAAGCTTAAAAATGCTCTTCCAGACTGTGTTGTGTGTTGACAACGGTAAGGAACTTGGATTTCTGAATATTTCAAAACTTCTAAGTAGCCAAGAGAACTAGAAATGATTGATCTTAGCAGCTGCATCTTGTTTATCCCTTTATATAGGTAATATTAAGGATTTGGCACCCTAGAGACAGAACCTTTTGCCTATCCTCATCTAATTCTACTTCTAGATCAATGCAGGTGATGTACTTCTCCAGATGTTGAACTACAACTCTGGCAATTGCTTTCCACTGCTATCTAAGCACAGATGTTGGGAGTTGCAGTTCTGTAGTATCTGGAGGATTTTCTCTAGAGCAGGGTTTTTTTTTAAATTACGTGATCAGGTAGGCAACCAATTACAGCCAGAACTGCCGCTTTATATGCCATGCTCAAAGTCTGGCATCAGTAATCTGTAAGTTTTCACTTTCCACACTATTGCTCATGCAGATAGAGCACTACTATTAAGAACAACAACAACTGAATGCAGGATGTGAATATGCTCTTAAATTTGGTGGAGGATATAAAAAAACAACCACAAGGTATCCTCAAGCAAATAAGTATTCAAGATGAAGCATTGTCAACCAAGCTATGACTTTTATGTGCTGGCAAATAACAGTGAAAGCACTGTGGCACTTTCCTTGTGATTAAGGATTTAATCATCCTTTTGGTGCTAACCCTTTTAAAAGCATTTAAATACTCTGCTCTGTAAAAGCTCATGTTGGAACCAGGTGATTTTCATTCTGCCTTATCCCAAACCCTTGGAAAGAATACTGAAACAGACACAGCAGAAGTAGCTGAAAATAATTTATTTGCCAAACAGAGAGTTAAATATACTGGAACAAATGAAAAGGGCAACCAATGCTTCTTTTTAGAAATTCTATGTTTAACAGCAGTTGCCGTCACTTGCCAACATTTTTACAGTTAACAGAAGAACATGTGAAAAAAAAAACACTCAACAAAAACTAGAATATCTAAGCACAGGAAACAGTTAACGTTTTTCTGCCCATCCTACTGTTTTATCACATCCATCTTCAAAGTAGCAGCTTAAGGCCAAAGCCTTGTCTTTTTTTACTCTGCCCTCCAGGAGTTTAACTTGAATAGCAACTGGGTCCAATTACCCAGACAACTTTCAGCATGTAAGCTCCAAGGTCAGGGTAAAGGGCTGGAAGTTTAAATAACCATCCATTCCCCTTTAAGCAAACAAGTTATTCTCTGAAAGTTGATTGTATCTCCTGTGTTACAGAAAGCACACCCTCCTGCAACAAGCTGGCAGGCTGCTGGAAAAGATGTCCAGGCTGCTGAAAAGTTTTTATAAGCTGTTAAATCTTTATAAAAAGATCCACCTTTTACTGCATCTGGTAAAATAAACATCAGCAATAGATTGCTCTTTTATTACACTGGGGGAGTGCCATATAGAACAACCAAATATTTTAAAAGAGACTTATGCAGGTGCTTTATCTTCCCACATCAACAGACTACAAGTTTTCAACCCAGTGAAGAAGTAAATCCCAGAAGCTGTTCTATGGGCTTGTATCTCCATTCATCTGCCTCCAGTTCTTCAACTAAACCAGCAAGTTTTTCCATTCGAGCAACCTGCTGATCTGCAACAGAAAATTAATGGTAGTTTGCAATCAACTTTCAATAACCCTGTGAACTGAAATGCATTTATAACCATGAACAGTTTTCTGCAGCAGACAATTCTTTCATAAGTTAAAAGATATATCATTTTATTCCACAACTGGGCAGGCTTGTCTGAAGTGATACATAGTTTTTAGATTTGATTTTAATTTATACATTCTTATTCAAACAGCAATATATTGTAAAGTAACTGATATATAGGACATTACACAGTATTGTAAAAACCAAGATGCATCAAATTTGAATGCAAGACCCTCTTTGTATCAGGTTTACTCCAACATTTGCTTCCATCCTCAAACCAATCCTCAATAAAACCACATTATGATTTATGCTGCTCCTGCTCTAAATAATATATTAGATTTGGTGTCACTTTGCTATATTGTCATTTGTCTTGATATCTACCTAGTTCATAGGAATGAAAGCAATATCAGCATTCCAGATACTCACAGTTTGAAGTGAGATGGGGAAGTACATTTTAAGCTACTAATGCCAAAATTTAGCCTGCAAGAAATGCTCTTCATAATTACGGTACTTTGTCACACATGAATTCAGGCCTTAGTTGGTTGCGTTATATTCTAGCTCTGGTATATATACGGTATGGTTTAACACACAGGTGCTTTCCAAAACCTACACAAGATCATCTCCTTTTCTTCTAAAGACAGAAAAGCACCACAATTGCATCATCGGCTATATAACGATGAGATGTATGTGGAGAACAGTGTTCCATAAGAAGGAGAAGCAAAAGAGTAGTATTCCATCAAGATGTGTCATATCATATAACTGATTAGTTCCAGAAAGTGAATGCCAGAGAAGCAACTGGCCAATCTGAACCTCAGAGAATGGCAGATCTCAATCTAATTTCATGTTATATTCCCAAATAAGAAGTATGCTCATCAAACCTTCCTGACCATATGATCACCAACTTCCCCTCTCAATCTGTGAGACTCCATTCTCCAGAAAAAGAAGATACAACACTTGGAGGTCTTCAGAGAGAAAGTCCCTTCTACCCTATAATGATCTAACTGAGGCACCAAGAGCCTTCCTGCATTTAAGGAAGGTTTATTTATATATGGAAAATCCATTCTTTGGTCTCAGGAAGTAAACCTCAACAAAACTGCTTTTGTGTAGGAAAGAAGGAGATTTGTGAAGAGCTCTAACTTGAAAACAGTAATCTAATAAAGTATAATCCACTTGGACTGGTTATCATTTCTGAAGGATATTTGTCTAGTCTCTTGAGCCACAGAATATGGCTGGAACAGTAAACTATCTTCTTTCATAAACAAACAAATAATAAGTGTTAATCTGGATAGATAGCACTTTCAATGCTTTCCACAAAGCTATAAAGATACCTGGGAGAATCTCTTTCATCTTGATGGCACTTCAGAAATACTAACTGATCTCCATGTATCACGAGGGTCAAGAAGGAAGAAGAAACATAATGTATAAATCAAATTGACCTGGCGGATGCTTTATGAACAGCAGAATTAAAATTTGCATGACTTCCATGTAGAAGTGCAGCATTCATTTTGCTCTTCTTATGTTATGTGTATAATATGGATAGAGTTACAGATGTTATAAAACCTACTTCCCCAATAAGCAGGCTGCATAGATGAAGCATTGTTTCTGCAAAGTTATTACACAAGATAACATTGGGTGAACAGATAACTGGAGATCAATTACATTACTATTTCATTTTTTGATTTTTGGTCATTCACAACAAGGCATTGATCAGGTGATTATGCAACCTCAACTGTGGGTATATCCACTGACATTTTATACTGAGCTGGAACACTTACCATGTTTTACTTGCTTTAACGTAGATGCAACTTGATAGCTGAAAACTGATTCACAAAGGAATCGCTCTGAGCCATCTGTAAATAGAAAATAACAGCAATTTAGTCTGTCCTAAGATTATTATGATCCCTAAAGATCTAGGACCTCCCTTTGCCTCTTTAAATCCACCACTGAGAACAATAGCTTTGATTCAGCACCAAGGATTCTAACCAGTCTGGTCTGGGACTCATACAATTATGAGATCATAAAGATCAACCAACTGCCTGCAAAAGTTAAGGGGGGGGAAGGAACCCTGCTGGATCAGATCGTCTATCCTCCTAGTCCAGCATTTTTTCCTACAGTAGTCTGCTGGGAAGCTAACTAGCATAGTGATAGGGACATACAACTCTCCGGAAGCTGGATTGCAACTTCCATCACCCCTCACCATTGGCTATTCTGGATGGGCTGACAGGAGTAGCAGTCCAACAACATTTGTTAAGCCACGTACCAGCTAGAGACAAAGACAGTGGTTTACATCTACCTACCCTGTCTGCCTTCCAGCAATAGATACCTGAAGGCCACCACACATAAAGAGCAGCAAACAGGAAATCTAAAGTGCTAAAATCTCAACTGTTTCCAGTGCCTACACAATTCTAAAGTAAAACTTGGCAAAACCTTAAAAATAGTCGATAAATGAGTGGCCCTGTTCATGCTTTGTATGAGGGGGGAAAAAACAGATTCAATCCCTAGCAACTCCTGGTAGGGCTGTCCTGTTGTGTCAAATCCTGAACAGCCACTACTCGTCCACTAAAGAAGGCTCATGTTAAAATAAATCCATTAGCCTTAAAGATGACACAAGACTTGAGGATTTTTCCCCTTCTGATGGATAAGATTAAGCCTGCTATCACTCAGAAAATTACCGTCTGACACAGCAGCCACTGAGCTAGATAGAACAGTAGTCTACCCCAATATAAAGCAGCTTTTAAAAACTCTAAATAGCTTTGGGAGCTGCCACAGATGAAAAGCAGCCTGTAATTGTAGTAAACAAGCAAACAAATTCACTGTCTATGAGCCTGAATGCTGCATTATCCAGCTTTGACATTATGGCTAAACATCTGTCAGTGGATCTATCCTTCATGTATTTGTCTAGTCTCCTTTTGAGACTACAACTTAAAAAATTCTGAAAAATAGTTATGCAGCAGGCTAAAAAGACTTTTGTTCTTTACTAACCTTAGTGTCAATGTCCTTGAATTGTCCAGATATCTAGTGTTATTAAAAAAATTATTTTCTGATATCATGATTGTTTCCCTATATCTACTAATATCTTAAAGCAGCATACAATGGATTACAAAATTTAAAATTATTTTTTAAACATAAAAAAGGTGAGATTCAGATACACAGTTCTCAGTCAGTTCAAGAAGGCCTGGGTGAACAGATGAGATTTTAACAGGTGTGTTGCCATGGTTGTTACCTAGAGATGGTCAGAGAGAAGAGCATTCCAAAGTGTGTGGATCCCTTGTGGGAATATAGATCTTGCAGACACCACTCTATTCTTCTTCCCAACAGAGAATGACAGGAGGTTGTGGGCTACAGCTGCATCCTGCTGTTCCCTCTATTTACTAATGGAAAATACACTGCACGCCTTTCCAGCTGGAAATCCCATGTGGGAGTGCTCCAATTCCAAGGCATGCACCTTTATGGAGAGGATTTGGGGAAAGGCATTCTCATTCTCTGTTACGTTCTTCCTTAATAATCTCACCATCACTGAACTAGAAGTTCTTACATACGCTTTGGCTTCTCCTTGAAGGGAAAAGTGTCCCAATCTTCTTGACCATTTCGTTGTTCTTTTCTGCACTTTCCTCTGTTCTATGATACAATTTTCAAGACAAGGCAAACACAGCCATACCATAGATTTAGATAAAGAAATTACATTATCCATTCTGTTTTAAATGCTTTCCTAAATATTGCTAGAACAGAATTTTCTGATCACAACCACCTGACAACCCTCAAAGCAATGCTATCAATTTCAAGAAAAGTACACACTAAGCAATATCTACATTGTCCTAAGCACTGGAAAGCAGAGCAATTGAAGCCCACACCTCCCAACATCTATGAACTTGAAAATGAACAAAATGACTTCTCAGGTACCATGGGTGTTTAAATAACTTTGATGCAATCTTCTTTAAAACTATGAAACAACAAAACCCATTCAAATAAGAAAACAATTCACTGATTGGCTGACAGTCCTGAAAACATATTGTGATTTTAATTATGTCCTGAGAAGTCGCCAATGCAATTACAAGACTAAGCATTGCACGACTGTCTAAAAAAAGTCTGAGAAAAGGGCAGGAGAATCTTAACAGAAGGACCTGCAGAAAAATCTATTCTCCAAGGAATGCCTACTTAGGCAGGCTATGGGTGACTCACTCATAATGGACACAACACACCTAGTAGCCAAGAGTACTGGTCAATCATCTTGTAAAATTTTAACAGTACAGTTGGTAGTGGCTTTCTCCATCTTCATTTGCACGGAGATTACCAACATCCCTACAACTTGTTCAAAAATACGATGTATTAATCAAAGCAAAAAGGCTTAGGATGGCAACATCAGCCATACATAGGAAAACGATTAAGTCTGGATGTCCACCCTCTCCATCATATAACCCGTGGAGACCACGGAGAGTGATTTCACAGAAATGGGCAAGGCAGGCAGGCAGGCCATACACGATTAGACAATTTGTTTAGCTCACAGAGAGGAGGGGAAGAAAATCTGGCAGAAAACAAGAAAGCATTCTGCACCTCAAGAGGCAAACAAGGCATATACAGAGTGGAGCTACAAGAGCAAATGGCTAAAAAACCAGAATATTAATACATTATGGTTGCAGAGCAGGTTCCAGCCATTGTAAGAAAGAAGTCTTCAAATAGCCTGCACAGGAGTTAACACAACAAATTAGAAACTTTCCTAAAAACTAATCAATTTGGGGGCAATACACTTTTGATACCTAATGCTGTGTTTTGTAGAACATCTTAAATTAAAATCTATACATCGTTATGCGAGGCACCACTGTACACTTTTGATACCTAATGCTGTGTTTTTTAGAACATCTTAAAATAAAATCTACCTGTAAGCTGAACCAAGAGAACTTTAAACACAAATAAAATATTTATTTCCTTAGCTGTGCCCCTGTGCAGTCAGGAAGGATCCGCCTTGACTATGTGTTTTCTTCTCTCTGTATCAAAAGGAAGAAAAAATGTGCCCCATACATTTATTTTTTTTTAATGCGTACATTTGTGGCTTCCTCCTATTTGATTACAATGGTAAACAGAGTGAGATGGCCAATGTTTTGTTCTAGTACACTTGATCAGAGTGGGGAGATTCCTGGGGTACAAGAACTACATTCCCTTGTGGTTAAATGCTCAAGACCTTCAAGCCAGAGTTGGGAGGAGTCCACACAACAAATGGGCAGGCTCCAAGCTAAAGTCAGTAGAGCCACACTCCCCTCCTCTCTAACACAAGTCTCCATGGCTGACTACTCTCCCAGACTTACTGCGGTGCAGGAGATGGTACTGAAAAAGTGTGGGAAGGATTTATATGAACTGCTGCAGAGAATAAAAGGAGTTAGTTGCAGCATGTCAGGAAGGCAAATCCTTCCCCATCCAGCCACAATCCCCTCTCATCCCTTTTCAAGGTAAATTGGTGTATGGAGGGGGCCCCCACAGGCCAATGGGTAGCATTAAAACCATGAGCTGCTGGAAGCCATGAACTTCCATCCTCTAGATTCAATGGCTTAATATAGTTTGCTTCCAAAATTCAGATGAAAGAAAAAAGCAACACAATAGTGCACTTAAAGCTATAAGAAGGCACAAAGGACAAAACAAAAAACAAACAAACCCTCTTTCACAGGTAAGTATCTCACTTTTACCAGAATGTTCCTCTACATCTCAGCTGCATTAAGCTGTGTAGGCATTTCTGCTTTAGCCAGCTGCCCTGGAGGCAGCTCAAACACCTGAAGTCTAGTCCTTTTAGTGATACATGCCATGCTTTGGTAGTGGTGGATCGTACTCCTTGTTTTCTATCCTGCTGTATCTAATATAGGATAAATGTAAAAGTCCTGCGAAGTACAACTTTGTACTATGTATATTTCCATGTCACTAACTACTGCTACTAACTAAGCTGAGACCTCTGAACTTAGTGAAGTACTTCCTTGTTCAATGGAAAAAAATTGTACATGTTGTACACAAGCTTTTTTGCAACCAGCATTTATGTCTGTGCAGAATTATCTGTAATTAAATTCACTTAAAGCTAGATTTCTCCAGATAGGAAACAACCTGGATTTTTCCACGTCTCTAAAACCTACAACCTGCTGCTACCATACAATCAGCACTGAAAAGCAGATCATACTTTTCAAATCACTAAAAATTAGAAGAGCAAAATCCAAAGTAACTTGGAAGGCAACATAACAATGATCCAAAAATCATACACCACTCGCAGATAGCAGGTAGAAATGACAAAGATATTTTATGATAGAAACCAAAGAACTGTGCATACAGTTCAGCTTCCCTAAGGAGAACTTTGAACTTCAGTTTCTCAAACATCACTCTTTCTTGTCAGAAAATAAGCTGTTGAAAAGGAAGAGTTTCAGGTGCAGTTTGGCTACAAGTCTCACTCTACGTCAAAAAAGTATAGGGAACAAAAACAAATAAACAAACAAAAAAACACTGCCACCAATAAACAGTGAGACATCATCAAATCTACCAGTAGCTTCCCCTAATTTAATGCCCTTCAGATATGCCCTTTGACCATCCCCAATAAGCATGGTGATGGGAAAAGGCTGAGTCAGTGAGCATATAAATGGGAAAGTGTCCAGGTTACAGGCACCATCCTTTTACAACAATTCACTGAACAACTCTGAATGAGCACCTAGATTTAACTTCTACCCATTATTTAAGGTTACAAAGAAACTTTCCCAGGACAGTTTTCAAATAGCAATAAAAATATCAAAATGCATACAATAAAATCAACAGCAATAAAATCTAAAGCAGCAGATGACACAGCAGTCAGCGCCATGGATAAAATCACAGTAAAAAGGCCTAAGAG